GTGTAGAGGATCGCAGGCGAAAGCCGCAGCACCTCTACATCTGCCTTGGTCCTGGCACTTTCTAACTGGCAGTAAAAGGCTCGCAGGCAAAAGCCGCAGCACCTCCACACTTGCCTTTTTCTTATCTGAATACACACATCTGGAGCATGCCAAACTGCAAACTGCAAGTCATCAAGGAATCTGAAACTGCGTGTGCTGCCATCGCACTCTACAGTGGTACTGAGCCACACCTGCAGCCGCTGACCGACTGTAGAATACTGATGGCATTAGCACTGCTACGACACGGTCTAACTCTGCACAGATCGGACTTTTTCTGTCACTTCGAGAGTACTTCGAGCTTGGAGAATTTCAGACCACACGCAGGGATATGCTTCCCCTGCAAATGATCTTACGGGGCCGCTAGACGGGCCGCTGCAGATCTGCAAACGATCTTAGGGGGCCGCTTTGCGGGCCGCTAGGATGATTTCCAAGTCTCTCACTGAGAGAGCCTTCGTCTTCTTTACAAGTTTCGCCTTGCGCTTCTGCACAGCGCGCAAAGCCTTCTGGTGCTCTCTGCATGCCTTTTTGGCGTCCAGCTTCCTTGCCTTGAGCATGCGAATCTGGGCGTCGAGGTCCTACAAGGAGAAGGATGCTAATTGAGGGCGTCGAGGTCCTATTAAGAGTTCCCAGATTCAGGGGTTTTTTCACTACCAAAACAGACGAATCTGGGCGTCGAGGTTCAGGGGGGCTACTTAGCAGCAAAACGTAACCACAACCCTCCAAAATTAATGATATCATATTTATCTCAATTTTGTCGAATTTTTGGTTCAAAAATTCCGTTCAAAATCATAATCAGTCGAATTTTTGATTGATTAAGTTAATCAATCAAGATTGTTCATCATCGATTTAAATTTCGAAAGAAATCCAAATGGATGCTCGTAGGGTTTCCTATCTCCCGAAGATCAATGATATCTTGACTCGTCTGCATCTGGATCATTTCCTTGCGCCTCGCCGGCGAGAAACTGCAGGTGCGTCATCTCTTTGAGATTCCGTGTGGCCCGCTCTAAGACTCCCTTTTCCTATACAGCATATACTCCTTTATGTTTAACTTATACTCAGAAATATATATATATATATATATATATATATATATATATATGTAGATATACCAACACATACATAGACATAGACGTAGACATAGACATAGACATAGACATAGACATAGACATATACACATACACATACATATACATATACATATACATGTACATATACATATACATATACATATACATATACATATACATATACATATACATATACATGTACATGTACATGTACATATACATGTACATATGCATATGCATATACATATACATACACCTATACCTATACCTATACCTTTACATATACATATACGTATTCGTATACGTATACGTATATACATGTATATTTACATTTACATTTACATTTACATTTATACATATACATATACGTACACATATACATATACATATACATATACATTTACATATCTACTTATACATATACATAAGCATATAGATATATATATATATGTAGATATATTCATACATTCTTTTTTTAATGTATTTATGCTTCGCAAGCCCTTGAAGGCCGAAGTATAGACTGTGTAGGTCCGAGGAGCCTCAGAGCCAAGGGTGTCGTGAGACCCGAAAGGTCCTAACTACAGAGAGTCTGCGAATTTAGGGTTTAGGAGTTTAGGGTTTAGGGTTTAGGGTTTAGGGTTTAAGGGTTTAGGGTTTAGGGGCTTAGGGTTTAGGGTTTAAGGGTTTAGGGTTTAGGGGCTTAGGTACAGAAGTAGGGTTCTATAGCAGAGGGGCCTTAATGCTTAGAATACAGGGATTTTGGGCCCATTATACTACAGTGAGAGTAAGGAACCCCCCACAATAGTATAGGTAATTATTATGTAGATCGGGGCTTAGGAATCAGGGTTTAAGGTTACGCGGTTTAGGGTTTAGGGTTTAGGGGTTTAGGGTTTTGGGGTACGGCCTTAGGGGAGAGGGTTTATATGGTTTTATGGTTTGGGGGTTCCTTCATAAGAGAACGTTGGGAGGAACCAAGCCAACTCGGTCCCACCTCCTCCTGCTTCGGAGCCCGCTAGCTAATGAAGGGGGTCTATAGGGGTTCCTGAAAAGTACTGTAAGGGATCTTTATGGGTACTGTAATACAAGGGCCTTAATAGTTAGAATAGGGTTTGGGGGTATGCTATACTATTTCCGGGATTTCCGTTGCCGTCAGAGGAGTACGCGGCACTAATTAAAGCTGCACATGGCCCTTCAGCGCCACTATCGGGGCGGCAAAAGGGGATTGCCAGAAAGCCTCGGGTGCCTGCACTTCAGAGACCTGTCCCTGTAAGACTTGGTCCCACAGCACCCTTAGCTCCTTCGGCAACGAGTCTAGCACTGATTCAAGCACGGCGGAGAGGCTACATCCTTCACACACTACAGGCTTCTCCGCTTCCCAGCCTGTACTCTGTATAACGAAGGGCTTTGCCTGGGTCCCATGCTCTCTCAGTTGCCGTAGCTGAGCACCGGTGATCTTGGCCCACTGCTCCTTCTTGACAATGGATCCAAAGTCACGGAGGGTCATGGTCTCGCTGACCTCCTCCGCTGGTGCTGTCTGCACATAGGTGGGTTTGTCGATGGTCCCCTGCAGGGCATCGAGGATGCCGTCGTAGGTAGCGTCGTCCCAGGGATCATCTGGGTCGTCGCCACGTAGTAGACGCACTTCACCGATCAGGTAGTCGAGGATCTCGGCTTCCTCTGTCCGGTAGAGTGGCACCTTGGCCAGTTCGTCCTCGATCAACATCTGCAACCCCATAGCTGGCGACCATGAGCGGCGCTGGAAAAGCAAGTTGCAGAGCTCCGCGTAGGTGACCAATTGCGTGTCGTCCCATTTGCCCTCCTGCCATGGTTCCAGGGGCTCCGCGACGAGCAACGTCGGAGCCAGGTTGTACTCGTCGTTGGCTTTGCGTCTCCACGCACGGCTTCCTGGCCCCGGGGGGGCTGTCGCAGCTCCTAGCCCGTAATGCCGGAGGGTCCGGACACAGCTGGGGCTATCCCGTAGGTGAATCGACAGCCTGGCCTGGCTCCAGTATTGGCGACCACAGGCACGGCATAACGACCCAACCGCACATTGCCGCCACTGGGCTTTCCTGCCGTGAGTCTTGAAGAAGTGGACCGCCAAGCCGGTTTTGGTCTTGAAGCTGGCCCCACATGGCCGGCAATACCATTGTGCCTCTGTCCATTCGAGATGGGGTTGTCGCCCAACAGCTTCACGGTACATCGCCCATAAACCAAACTGCACGAGGTTGGCCTGCACCGTTTTGTCATGGATCCTTTGGAGTGCCTTCCGCACTCGGGCTTTGATCACTTTTGGTCGTTCTTTGAGTAGGTGCCACCATTGTGGCCAGGCATAGGCCGCTAGGTCCGGCCATTCGCCTCCTTGCTCCACCACCATGCGCAAGTCCTCTCGTAGAACTCTGAGCCATCGTTGCTCAGACTGCAACGTGGCCCATAGCTGTGGCGGGTTCACCTTGACCAGGGAGCAGAGCAAACTGATGCGGGCCTTCACTGCCTCCAGGTCCAGTGACCAACAACCCGTCACGAGGTGGACCACCGGCAGGGGCACCTTGAGGATGTCCACGGCTCCAATCTGCGGTAGTAAGAGTCTCCGTAGTAGACGCGAGTATCCACCACAGAGTTGATGCCACGACTCACCGTCCGGCAACCAAAGCGCGATGTTAAAGAGGCTGGGCAGAATAGCGGCCTGAAACAGCTTCGACCTGACCTGCAGGGGCACAGTCACGTTCTGGTATAGCAGCTTGCGTCCAGCTTCGAAGGCACTTCTGGCGATACCCAGCCTACGGCGCATCTCATCCTTGAGCGTCATCGCGGTGTCAAGGACGCCACCCAAGTGCGTATAGGTAGGTACGATGGGGATGCTGCACTCCAGGTCGGGCAGGAGGAGGGCTCTGCCTTCTTTGCTGAAGTACTCTGCCTTGGCCTTGCGCGTACCTGTGCCCTTGAGGGATAGTAAGAAGCTGGTCTTGCCCCTTTTGGTATTGGGGGCCATTCCGTAGGAACGGCAGAAGCTGATCACAATGGCGCCCAACCTGGCCGCCTTCTGGAGGAGCACTCTCGGTGACGGGTCAGACAGAGGGAAGGCACTGTCGTCTGCCCATGTCGTGTCCCGGGCACTGAGTACTTGGCCCTGGTTCGGTCCGGCGAAGATCCCACCGGATTCGTCCCAGTAGTACTGCGACAGTAGGCCTTCTCCCTCCGCCAGTTCGGCTACCCGGCACAAAACCCTGGCATAAACGTAGCCAAAGACTACGTCCGCCCATGACTCGCCCGGTCGCGATCCAGCTAGTGTGGTGCTGAGTTTGCGCCCTCCACTCTGGGCCACCACAAACCAGGTGTTGCGGTGGAAGTCAGCCACTGCCTCACAGATCGCCGGGCTGATGCCAGAGTCACGTAGGGCTCCACCTGCTCGGATAGCCTCTAAGAGTTCTCTTGCATCCTCCCCATCAAGGTCGAAGCGGTGTAGAATCCTCAAGACTGCATTATCCGACCGCAGATCTCCAGTAGCTACCTCGCGTATCACTCGATAGTACGCCGATCGCATGTCGAGGAAGAGGGTACAGGCCGACAAGCCTGCCTCCTTGCAGTAGCGCATGTGGCTGGCAATATAGTGGGCTCCGAATGTCACCGGTGCCCCTTTCTTCATGCCAAAGTGCAGCTCGTGGAGGATCGAGTCAAAGTTGGGCTGGGCCTTCTGCCGAATCGCTTTGTGCAGGGATTTACCCAGGAGGCTGCTGACAAAGAGCGAACGATGATTCTCCGGGTTGGATGCTGGGCCTGACTGCTTCCAGGCAGAGTATAGTACTCCTCCTCGCCACTGTAGCGGTTGCCGGAAAGTCAAGAGTGTTTTGAGAAATAATGGCATTGCCGCTCTCGCCATGGCCGTTGGGGCTCCCTTCAGGATCTCACCAGGCACTCCATCCAATCCTGCAGCTCGATCCACCGGGGCCTGCCGAAAGAGGGATTCAACTTCCGCCAGGGATGGTAGGTCCTGGACCTGCCTGGTATTTCCGAGGGGGCCGCGAGGCCAGCCAGGAAATCCGCAACCTCGGCCGTGGTGCCAACCTCCATTTCTCCAAAGTGGTTGAGCCAGAGCTCCTCTCTTGCCTCCTGACTGACGACCGGTCTGCCCTCCTTGTCGAGGAGGAGTGGCGGCGGTCGCACAACAGGACGAGCTTTGCGCCCGCCAACACCAGCTTGCTTGGCCTTCTGCAGGATTTTTGTCGCTGTCCCACCCTCGTCAGCAAGTCGCTGTAGGTACTCCGCCTTCGCTTCCCTGATACCGTTCTTGATGACCTTCGTGACACATCCAATAGCAGCCGCCGCCAATTGGTAAAGCAGGTCGTCCTTGCCGATGTCGCCAATCTTCTGGGGTGTCCGGCCGCTCCAGTGTGCGAAGGCCTCCTGTACCCATTCTCTCCTCACCCGCTTACGGTGGGCAACTTGTGCTTTGTAAGCGAGTTTCTTCCGTCGGAGCTTCCAGACCCATTCTGGTATATAGGTCGCTCGGGGACCCCCGAGTGGGAGAGCAAAGTGCTCCTGCATGGTCCGATGGAGGAAATCCTGCAGGTGTTGGCAGTGCGCGTCGACATGAAGGGACCACGGTGGTGGGGCATACTTGGAGATTTCGTGGTGCAGCAGCTCCTTGCCTGCCGCAGACCGCATTTTTCCTCGGTCGTAGCGAGGCCTCCAGAGCCGTCCTTGACTCCCTAGCGGTCCTGTGCTGCCATAGCATTCCAGTTGAACAACGAAGTGGTCGTCATGCGACGTGGCGACATCCAGATGGTGGTTGATGCAGCTGTGAGCCCCCGTGCTCGCGGCTTTTCCACCTAGGCAAACGAAATCAATCCGGTGCTTCTGTCCTGACGGATGGCAGAAGGTCACACTGGGGCCAGTGTGATATTGGGTATACGTAGATGGCATCCATAGCCGACCTTTCTCGAACACTTTGGCCGCCTGAGTTCCAGTCGCATCAACCTCACCACATGTGAGGCCACCGGTCACCGCTCCGAAGTTTGGTGGAGGTCTTCCATTGAGGTCGATGCCCATGAGGACCAGGGTCGCCTCCCGATAGTCCTCAAGCATGTTGCCCAGTCTTTCGAGATAATGTTCCCGCTCCTCCGGCCTGCCTGTGTGAGGGCAGTGGCACGAGAGCAGGATGCATCGAAACGTTGCCTGTCTGACCGACAGGGCAAGTAGTCGTTCTGTGCTGTGGAGGGTTTCGACGTCCTCGTCGGTGATGTGGCAAGCCTTTCCACCAGCATCCAGTAGTCCCAGGGTCCGGCTCACCCAGATGCTTGTGCCCCAATGCCCGCATCCATCTGAACCGAATCTCAGGTATCTGGAGCTCCGACACATACCTCCCTTTTCCTTGGTTTCCTGCAGGAAGACGATGTGGTATCCAGCCTCCTCGAACTGTTCCTCCAGGTAGGCGTGTTTGCCAGCAATGCCCTGCACATTGATAGTCGCAACTTTACAATGGAAGTCCCACTGTCGGTCGGTATCGCCTGGCCACGTGCTCTTTGTCGGGACCAGTTGTTGTGGAGTGAGGGGACTGCTGGATGTCGGCGTCGGCATGGTCCAGGTAAGGTGGGAGCCCGTCTGGGTGGGGAAGCTTGGGTCGTTGATGCCCCAGGTCGCCAGTGTGAGCCAGCTAAAGTCACCCTCGATAAACGCCTGGAGTGCAGGGAGGGGCGGACCTTTTGATCTGATCCGTTTCATAGCCATGGCCTTAGCCACCGCATCGGCAAGCTCGTTCCAGGGGTCACCCTGATGTGCGCTCACATGCCTGAAGGTCAGCCCCTGTTGGAACAACGTGTTGACAAACATAGCCAGTTCTCGTGCTTTTCTTCCGAAGCTGTTTGGCGGTTCCCACTGTCCACCGGTACTCCAACCAGCCGCCATGTTGTCGAAGTGCAGTGTGGCTCCCACGAGGCGGATAAGCATGCGGCTTTGGCACAGCCACAGGAGGGCTGATGCCACTGCCACCTGTTCAGAGCGAAGGACGGGTGGGGCCTCAAAATGCCATAAGCTGTCCTGCACCTCCGGCAACGGCTCGCCAAAGAGACCAAAGAGTGTACTGGCCCCACCTGCCTCGAGACGAATGACCGCCCCATAGGCTGCCGATTCTTCTTTCTGAAGGTAGGAGCCGTCAGTATATATATGCGCCTCAATGGGGTCTGTGACCTTCAGCAGGAAGTCGCTCCAGTGCTCCATGTCTTGCAGGGCCTTCTGGGTGTCTTTGTGTAGGACGACACCCTCCATGTCCTGTAGGATCCAGTCTGGCCGCCACGGTCGCATGAGGGCCATGACCTCTTCTTTGTCATGTGGGAGGGGCAGGCTCTCACGTGTGAGGTCAAAGTTCGCCGGTGGCAGGCATGAGGCGAGCAGTAGGGGGAGGGCTGCCTTCTGCTGCCACTGCTTTGTTTTGTGTCTGCTCCCTTGCAGACTGCTGTCCCCACTACCGGGTCGTCGCGGGGATCTGCTGCGGTCCTGGGCACCGACGTCGGGGCGATTGTCCATACCCGCATCTGGCTCCGCATCCGGCTCAACATCGGAAGGGTCGTCTCTCATCTCATCATCCGGGCTGTCCGGGTCGCTGTCCGACTCCTCGTCCGGTCCGTCGGAGTCTCCATCTTCGCTAGCCGTAGGCGTGATGTCGTTGTTGTGCCGCAGGTCAATGGTGAGTAGCTCGCCGTTCTGCACCTCCAGCTCAATACCATTGCCTGTCTTCCTCCCACCACGTACGACTATAGACCAATTGTCAAAGTACGGCAGGTGCAGCGAGTCCAGGTAGGGCATGGGGTCGAACGTGTTTCCTTCCACCGCCAGCCACTGCACCCATTTCCCAACACCACGTAGGTCAACGAACACAATCGTGGAATAGCTTCGGGGATGACCGCCAACATCGACCTCACCCTCTTTGTTTTGTCAACCAAGTGCATTGGCCTTTCCGTGGGGGCGAGTACCCATATGTCCTCTGGCTCGTGCCCCAACGTATCGCCCGCGATCTGGCGGGTGCTTCTAGGGTCACGGCGCAGCACCATGTTGACGATCTGGTGTTCCGTGTCCTGGTAGGCAAGGAAGGTCCCGTGTGCTGGTCGTGGTGGATCGGTATCCGGCCTCCATTGTCCGGGGTCTGTTAGCCTTGGGGCCAAATCCGTTGCCCAGTCGACCGCTATCCCTCTAGGGAGGATTTTCACAACCCCTCCTTGGATGGGTTGTCGACGTTCTCCTTCCGTCAGTGGTGCAAGGTCGCCGAAGATAAAGACCTCGTATGGCTCGCTTGCTGCAATGTTGACCTCCCGGAGCATGGAGGCCTTACTGACCATCGCCTCGAAGTAGAACGTGTAGGCTCCACCTCCAATCCCGGTGAGGTCCGCCACCATCACGTAGCGTCCAGAAAGTAGGATCCACGGCGGGACGAGAACCGCACTGGCATAGTCCGAAGAGAGCTGTGGCCATGTGAGGACTGGGTGCCACTTGGGGAAATGGCTGGTATCCTCTAGGGCCAGTGTCCGCAGCCTTTCCTCGGTGAGCGGGAAAGGCACCGCTATATCGACCATCTCGGGCTCATAGTGGACCGTCGCCACCCAGCACGAGATGTGTATCGCCGGCGGTCCAATTGCATCATCTTCTCCAGGCCGGATCTCGTAGTGGGGGGGGGGGAGCCTCCCCTGCAGAGTGCATGAGTGGCTGGGTCAGCACATGCCTTTGCCAGGCCTGCTGTAGCTGCTCAGTGCCTCCAACGGTTTCTGCTTGGAATTCGGCTCGGCGAGGAATGGCCGGCCATGTCCTCGGTCCATGGGGACCTCCAGTGGCTCGAACTTCCGGCACTAGGAGCACAGCCAGTGCCAGACATGCCGTACTATGCCGTTTGGGTTTCGGACGAAGCCCTCCCCAGAGCAGCATAAGGAGGGCGCCAAGTCAAATCCCAGCTTGGGCCGCGATGACCCCCTGTGCTTCCTGGTGGGCTTGAAGGAGCCATTTCTCAATAGCTGTCCAAACCAGTCCACAGATCACGAACAGGTAGTCGAGGAGGTCGTAGTACCTGTAGTTCCCGACGAGGGCAATCATATCCGTCTTCACCTCACCGTCTACGTCCTCCTGTTTTCCCTTTGTCAAAATTGTAGCGGACATACCGAAAAAGCCGCTATGATTCCACCATTCCCTCACCATCATGGGTTGGGCCATTGGCGTGGAGGCAGGGATCGCTTGTATTCCCCTGTCCGAGGGGCCCCTGGCAAAATGCCAGTTCATAAGATCGCAGTGCGCGGCACTGCTCAGTCCATGTCCCCCGTCGAGTTGGAGGCCAGGTGTCCGATCTTCTCGTCCTCGCTGTCGTCCAGGTTCACCATGTCGCTGCCCATTTTGTCTCTGCTCCTGGCCAGCTTTTCCGACAGCGGCGTGCCACCAAGCGAGGGTGCCGCCGGCCCTCTTCCCTGGGCCTTGAGGGCTACTCGGGGCGTACCTTTGTTGGACGGCTTGTGGCGTTCTCTGGCTGTGACCGGGATCCCCGTCTGGGTCGAGGGTGAAGCCATGTACGGCACCGACGGTGCCTCGGTCCCTTGGTAGGCTGTCGGCGCCCCTGCTGGCCGACCACCTTCCTGCTTGATCTCCTTCTCCGGCGGGGTAGCAAGTTCCCGCCGAGGTCGTCTTTCTGGTGTCCGAGCCCCTCCTTCGCCATGCTGGTGCTCCTTGATCAGCTTGAGGAGGTGTTCTCGTGTCCCTTTCGGTAGCGCTGTCGTGCCAGCCAGGGCCGTCTCGATTGCACCAGTGATGCCCATCTCATCGTCGCGGTCCTCCGCCATGAGCTCGTCCCAGGCATTCTGTGCGTCCTGGGGGATCTCCACCTGGTTGGTGTTCTTCTCCTGGGCCGGGTCCTCGCCAGCAAGGATCTTCTGCAAGTCCGTGAGGGCCGCCGTCAGGCTGTCGTGGTAGTCCTCCTTCTCTTGGCGGATCTTGTCGAGCTTCTCGCTGTAGCGCTTTCGTTCTTTTGCGAAAGTCTGCTTCAGTTCGGTCTCGTACTGTCGCCACTTTTCCTGCAGGTCCTGGATGTCTTCCTCGGCTCGTCTCACCTTGCCCTCGTTCCTGCGGATGGCGTTGACCACTTTCTGCACCGTCTTGCACAGCGCCCCAGCAGCATTCCTGGTCGTCACAGGCTCCACCGGTTGGTCTCCAGCTGGCTTCTCCTCTTTCCGCTGGGCCCCTTCCATCGTCTCGAAGGAGGGGAAATTGGCTTTGCCTTTCCCTTGTCCCTTGGACTTGGGTTGTTGCTTGTGCCATCCATGCGCACCAGAAGAGTAGTCCCAGCCGCCATCTTGCTGCCACCGGCTGTGATCCGCGGCACCTTGCCAGTCTTTCCATTCTGGCTTGCGGCGATCTGCTCGGCCCATGGAGAGTGGCAGCTCCCTGTACTTGGGACGGCTGTGGTGCCGTGTCAGAAGCAGGAGATCGCCCAAGATCGGGCGTATGCCTTGCTTCCTTCGTTGCCAGATGCGGGCTCTGGCCGAAGATCTCGCTCTCCTCGCTCGGCGGTGCCACGAAGGGGATGCCGGAATGATCGAGCGGAGGGGCGGACGTGCTGTAAGCACTTGGGGGCAATAGCAATCTCTCCCTGTGAGAGTCTTCTGAGCCCCTATGCTATACTATAGTTATAATAAGGAACCTATGCTGAATTTAGAACCCTAGCAAAAATCATCATTTTAGCTGTTTCTTAGGGATTATAATAACCAAAAATTAAATAATATTTCTAATTATCCCTGAGGAACCTTCATCCTCGTAATCGCTCTGGCAGCTGCTGCGACCGCGACTTCTGATGCTCCCCCTCGTAAACTACTACACGCACGCTCGCTGCTGAACCTCATGTATCCTAGACTCCATACCTTTAGGGTTTAGGGTTTAGGGTTTCCTAGACTCCATACCTGAGCCCCAAACGTATGTAGAATAATAGCCTTTTATGGGTATTGGGCCAGTATTTTTCCTACTTTGGCAGGTTTAGGTAAAGCCTTTACACTTTAGCCTACTTGTCGGGTATCATGGGAAACTACAGGTTAACCTTTTTGGTTATATAGGGATTATATAGGGGCTATACTACCCAAAAAGGTTAAAGGTTACCTACTCGACGACTAGGGGTAAAGCCTTTACACTTTAAAGGGAACTCCAGAAAGTTGGAATATGGTTTCAGGGTAGGATACCCTATAATTAACCATAAAGGGTTTAGGATAATCATATTCCAACTTTCTGGCTTTTACTGTAGTAGTTCCTCTTTGGGATTACCATATAGGATTAATGGTAGGATCCCCTATATAAGGGAACCTGAACCCTAAAAAATGGAATAAGGGCCTACTCTGGGTCCTAGAGGATGTGCTCACCCTGCAGGTCTCCCGGTGTGGTCTCAGGAAAGTGGCTTCTGCCCCTGGCTGCCTTGCGACTGCGCGGCTTTGAGCACATGGCCTTGGCATTTACGGCTTGTGATTTGGGAGTTTCCGAAAACAGGGGACCCCAGTATAGTACCCTAGATAATAGGATCCCTAATGGTAAGGGCCCCAAAATCAGGCACCCCTGATTTCGGAAACTCCCATTTAGAGGGGTTCAATTAAACTTTACAGGGCTTTACTATACTGCAAATCGAACCCCAGCAAAAAATATAATTTTAGCTGTTTCGTAGGGATTATAATAACCAAAAATTAACCCTAAACCCTAAACCCTAAACCCTAAGTACGCCTAAGTTTATGGGGTTTGGGAAAGAGCTTGGGAGCGAAAAGTTTCAGGCAGATGAGGCCGTCGGTTTAGGGTTTAGGGTTTGGGGTTTAGGGTTTAGGGTTTAGAGTTTAGGGTTTAGGGTTTAGAGTTTAGGGTTTAGGGTTTAGGGTTTGGGTTTAGGGTTTAGAGGGTTCTGGGCCGAGTGTGCGGATTTGAAACTTTTGATTCGGCTTGCACTTCTCCTTGGCACTACCCAGACCTTCCAAAATCCATTAATTCAGGAATATACCTTAAATCATATCAGGGACCCTCTTATAACTTAAGGTATATTCCTTAATTAAGGGATTTTGGAAGGTCTGGGTACTGTTGTTGATATAAACCCTGCAGTACCTTAAGGACCCTAGACTATGGGGAATTACGGTATATTCCTTATTATGGGTGATGCAGGATTTATATCATCAACCGTAGGAGCCGTTCGGTTCCCATACTTGCAAACCCCGCATGGAGCCTCAAGCCCAGCAACTGTTGGGGATGAGTGTTCAGGGGCTTTGCTGCAATTGGGGGGCTCTGTGCAGGAGCACCTATTGATAGGAGCAGTGAGACCAGAACCGACCGCGCACGATTCTTCTGTCTGCTTAACTCTTCCCCGCAAGATTAATGTGTTTAGGGTTTTGGGGTTCAGGGGTTTATGAACGGTTCTAAGTGGATTATCGTACTGACAATCTTTTTTGCAGTTACAGGCCTTGCCACCGAAACTCCGAAACCCCTCACCCACAACCCTCAACCCAAAACCCCACAACCTCAAGTCTTGTCCGATCATTGAGAAGAACCTCCCACTACAGCCCCGGAACTTGTATTATGCCCCAAACCCTATTCTGATTCGAAGGCCCCCTTTTTAAGACCCTGTTACACCCCAGACATAGACCCTGGACGCAAAGCAGGCGACCCAACGACTACAAAAAACCTAATTCAGGAACATCATTAGGGTCTCGGGTTTAGGGTTCAGGAGCTTGGAGTTCAGGGTTTAGGTAACATCATCGGAAGACGCCTGAAACCGACTCAAATTCTAGGTTTAGGGTTCTTCAAAGCGAAGGAGGCCAATACTACGATTGATGATATAAATCCTGCATTACCTTAAGGACCCTAATCTATGGGAATTACGGTATATTCCTTGCTATGGGTAATGCAGGATTCATATCATCAACCTTATGACTTAGGTATAGTCCTCAACTAATGAATCACCAGCCTTAAATCAGGAGTTTCGTACTCGCTAGGGATGCTGAAAGGCTCGGACGATTAACCCTGCACACCAAATCCGCAAACCTTTCACCCTCATACCCAAAACCCCAAAGCCCCAAACCCTTGAACCCAAAAGCCCTGAACAATAAACCCCAAAACCCTAAAGCCCTAAACCCTTGAACCCAAGAGCCCTAAACAATAAACCCTAGAACCCGAAATATCCAAAGATTCAGTGCCAGACGGGGCGATGATGCTTCGGCAAGAAGAGCCTCTTCAGGCCATACCAGTTTACCCCAAGGGTCCAAATACCCAATAATCATATACTCTCCAAAAACCTAACCTACATAACTAGTATCCCAAATCCGAGTACCTAATTATTGGGTCGGTTGGACCCTTGGGTTTACTTACGGTTCATGGTGCAGGGCTTGGCATTTGGGGCTTAGGGTGTTTGCCTACTCGTCCCAACTTGGGTTTGGGATCGCAGTTCTGTAGGTTAGTATTTTGGAAAGTAATTTTGTAGCTTAGCTACTGTATTTGAGGGAGTATAGGATTGCTATCCCTAAACCCTGCAAACTCTAGTAGGCACTTAGACAAATGTTTAAGACTTGGCGTTTCAGCGGCTAGGATTCGAGGATTGTTGCTCTTGCGGCTCTTGGCATGTGCAGCACGAAGCCTGCGACTTTTGTCCGTGAGCCATCAGCTTCAATCGTCGAGCCGCGTGTTACTCAATCAAATAATCTCGCGCATGTACACAGCAGAACTGCTGCTACGACGACGGTTGTTCTCAGTAGGTCTAAGTACTGCTAGGGTGATGTTCGGCGTTCATCCTTTCTTCGATAATTGATCGGAACCCCGGTGACTACACAGGTCTTCTTTGCTTCTTGCATTCACTGCTCAACATCCTGCACCCTCTAGACAAGAGCCCCGAATACAAGTAAGCCCTACCCTAAACCCTAAGCCCTAAAACCCTAAAGGATTGAAATAGGGCCCCCAAAAAGAACATAAGCAAAAATTAGGATAGGGATATTCCATATAAATCCCCTTATAATAAAGCCCAACAAGGTAGGGATATCCCCATAAGATGCTTATGCTTATGTGCTTTTTGGGTCCCCAATGAAAGAGCACATTCCGCGGGTACTCAGAGCTTCGCAACCCTAACCCCTAAACCCCAAAACCCTAACCCCTAAACCCCTAAACCCTAAACCCTAAACCCTAAACCCCTAAACCCCTAAACCCTAAACCCTAAACCCCTAAACCCCTAAACCCCTAAACCCTAAACCCTAAACCCTAAACCCTAAACCCCTAAACCCCTAAACCCTAAACCCTAAAAAGTCGACTCATGAGCTGCTTCGCGTGCGAAGGCGGCCGAAACGCAAGCCTGGAAGCAGGGCAGGGCCTGTGGGATCCTAGGGGACTTAGTAAGTCGGGCTCCTTAAAGGGATCCTTAAAGGGATCTATAGGGGTTCCTTAAAGGGATCTATGGGGTTTAGGGTTTAGGGTCTACTTAGAGGCCCAGGGGGACTTAGTAGGATATAAGTGGGGTTATAAGTACCCTAAATGGAGTTACCCCAATTATAACCCTACTTATAACCTACTTACTAAGTCCCCCGGGGGGTATGGGTTCCCAGAAACTCCAACATCCCTTAAATAAGGAATATACCCTAAATCATAATAGGATCCTTAATATGATTTAAGGAATATTCCTTAATTAAGGGATGTTGGAGTCTCTGGGAACACTAGTATTAATATTCGTATGAATGTGGGGTTTAGGGTTTAGGGTTCAGGGGTTTCGGGGTTTAGGGTCTCTAAAGCTTACGTAGGGTTTGGGGTGTAAGGCCTCAGGGTTCTATAGAGGGTTTGGGGTCGAAGTCGAAGCGTTATGTACTAGACCCAAGAGTAACCTAGGCATAGAAAGGGTGCCCTTTTTGGTTTAAAGGGGCTTATAAGGGAACCTGAACCCTTAAAAAGGGAATAAGGGCCTACTCTGGGTCCTAGAGAATGAATGAAGGGTCGGATGTAGCCCCCTGATTAGATAATTTCCTCCCTGCATCAGGATAACTACGTTAAACTACCAGAACCTTATTCTAAGCCTTAATATGGCAATTATAGGGGCCCTGCAAAATAGTAGGTTTTGGTAGTTCAAGGTAACCATAGGTCCATCCTAATAGTAATGCGCCTAGTAGGGCCCTGCAGGGAACTCCAGAAAGTTGGAATATGGTTTCAGGGTAGGATACCCTATAATTTACCATAGAAGGGTTTAGGATAATCATATTCCAACTTTCTGGCATTTGCTGTAGTAGATCCTCTTTGGGATTACCATATAGGATTAATGGTAGGATCCCCTATAATTTGCCTTAAGGGGGTTAGGATAATCATATTCCAACTTTCTGGCTTTTACCTGAGGTGCTCAGAGGGGCCTTAGGCTTTCGGGCAGCAAGGGTTTGGGTTCCCA